TTAAAGGACTTGCAAACGCAATTGAAATAAACGATTTCAGTTATCTTCGGAAATGTTGGATTGAAATGAAAACAAATTCCAGCTTAGAATGAACCTAAGTGCGATGATTTAAATATGTTTTCTCCAAAATGACTGTCGACAAACCCCATTTATTACTGAAATAATTTTTACTAAGCGCAATGGAGAAGCCACAAGCCCTATAATGTTTCTGACCACTGTCGAAAATATTTAATGGTAACACAAGAAGAGCAGGAGAACAGATTGCAAGTCCTATGCAAAAATAAGCTCGTATGCATTTAATCATCGTAACTTAAGCTCGCGAGTCTTGTCGGGCGTATTCAAAATCAGCCAGCATGGGTTCTATCCTCTGCGGCACGCTCGGTGACGGGCACAGACGGGACAGAGGTACACAGGGAGGAGACATGGCGATGACGATGATGATGATGACGATTATTGTGATGAGGGGAGGATAAGTATAGGGACGCCATTGCCTCCACTACCTTTGGCTTTTATTCGCCAGCGTAAAAGTTGTTGGTGTCGCTGGTGTCTGGCTGTCTTTCATTTTTAATAAAAAACTCCATGTCACCGCAGCGTGGTGGTTGCTCTCGCATTTTTTTTTGTTTTTTTTTTTTTTAAATTGTTATTGTAGGCACTTCGTGCGCACTGACGCCACTACAAAGGAGCGCTGCGAGGTGAGCTCACAGTAGAGGAAACGGCGGGATTAAGACGCGAGCGCAGTGTCCAGGTCTATGAATGGACCCCAGCGCAGCGACCGCTGAGTGTTCTGGAGATTAATAAATTGATGGCATCCATTGCACATAACGTGTAACTAATGGCGGTCATCAATTCTGCTTTACATCTCAATCTGGGCTTAAAAAACAAAAAACAAAACAAAACGAAACGAAAAATGAAAAAATGAGTCGAGCAGTTGCTAAAAAGTATGCATGAAACGAAACGCATTTTTGGAGGGGTGTTAGGGATAAGACAAAAAGCATTGCGGGTGATTTTGGATAATAGCGGCGCAGTGAGCTAGGAAGCAGGCGACGGCGACGGCGACGGCGACGGCAACAACGCCAGCAGCTAGAGAAAACCTTCACGACGGCCATGTGGTGCCAATCACTTTCTCCAGAAGTACTGAAAAGTGAAAGGGAAGGGTCCCTAGACATTCCCTGCCATCCTCATTTGGGTTCAAAGAATTTGCTCTCTAACTAAATTCATATGCTCTCGCTCACTTATGCAACCCGCCTTGCATCCTTTGTCTGTCCGTGAGTCTGGCGATATACAAGTCACATGCTTCCGACCTTTGAAACCTTTCACGACTGTCGTCGGCACTCGGATTAGTAATGCTCCGATTTTACAGCCTTTTCGCTTTCGTTTTCAAAACAACGACTATTGTCGATTTGCATTATTTGGCAGACCGCCTTTGGTGCCCGACACATCGATCTGACGACAGACAAACCGACTGTCCGTCTGCCTGCGCTGCCTGCTCTAAGGTCACCTCTTTCGCGATGCTCCGACCTCTTCCATTTCCATTGACAGCAGGACATTCGTCTCTGTGGCAGACCTGGATCAGTTGCCGGGGTGGTTCTGTTACATTTCATCGATTCCGATTCGGAAATTTGCGAATTTTGCAAAAGTCAGGTAGTAGGGTATACGCTATGGGCGGTTTTGTTTGTTCTGATTGCAGACGGATTACTCCTAATACGAGCGATTGGCCAAGGTAATAAAGTGAAATTACTTAGACGTGTTCAAGGCCAGCTTGGGCAAGGATTACAGAAGAGTACTTTAAATGCCTGCGTTAGCGAAATCACATTCGTAACTAAACAAATTTAGGTTACTTTACATTAAAAAAATCACAACTCAGAATCAATATAATATTAGCGAGATATGACAAAACCATGTTCCTAAATGAACCCTTTTCAAGTTTGTTTGTCCCGTTCGTGATTAGCATTATTTAACGAGTCTGTCCGTCCGTCTCTCTTTCTAAGAGGAGCAAGGACTTAGGAAATTATAAAAGGTAAAACCTCCAGGGTATGCGCAAAAAGGCAACTTTTTATACGGATAGTGCCACTTTTTCGTATGTATTCCACAAATAACTAGCTGTGGCAGACCCCATATAAGTGCACCTTATTCGTTTTTACACGGTTTTGATCTAACAAGGTTTGAAAATTAAAAATTGTATATATGGTTACACGACTTTATTCCCTTTAGCACGATGCAAAATAACACAAAATAAATAAATAACAAGAGAGAAGGCTACAGTCGAGCAAGCCCGACAGAGAAATACCCTGTATCTAGGTAAAGAAGCAAATTCCAAAAAAGTAAACTCGTCCTTTCTCGGATCTAGGAGAATCTGGATACCAACTTTGGTTATTTTAGCTTTTATAGTTTCTGAGATCCTTGCGTTCATCCAGACAAACGGACAGACGGACGGACGGACATGTCTAGATCGATTTCTCTCGTCATGCTGATTCAGAATATATATACTTTATAGGGTCGGAGATACTTCCTTCTGCATGTTACATACTTTGCACAAACCTAATATACCCTTTTTACCCTACGGGTACAGGGTATAAAAGCACACACAGCTATAAGCCATTCTTATCGTTAAGTAAATTATATATGTAACTTTATAAAATAAACATAAATTCTTGATTTTTCACTGATTTTAATAGGTTTTAGAGATAAGGAACCATTCACCTATTTTTGCATATGTCTTTTTTACACGACTTTTTCAGGAAACAATCTACCGTGTAAAAACAGAATTAGGTGTATCTATAGTAATATTATAAAGAGGAAAGATTTGATTGTTTGTTTGAATTGAAAGGGCTCCGAATCTACTGGTCCGATTTAATGGATTCCTTCACTGTTGGGAAGCTACACTATCGACGATGAACATGGGCTATATTATATTTGCAAAAAAGAATGGAATCCTTACTAAAACGCCTATAATGTAACCAAAGGTGTACAACAATTACCTTAAAAAATTCTTGAATAGCCTGCTGTTAGTTCATAATCATCCTCGAAACATTGTCACTTTAAATATTAAGGCAATATAAAATATAAGGCAAATAAAAGATTACAAATCGATCAACACCGTGATTAATATTGGAGACATTTAAAATCACTAAACCTTTCGGACCGCCACCACATGAATTGACGGTAAAATTGGGAATTTCAATCAGGCTTTTGAGAAATTAAGGCCTTCCAAGCATGTGCAATGGATCAAGGCTGCTTATTAGGGAATTGCAGGACAATTTAGGCCCAGCAACTGGTCAACTGGCTCATATAACGAGGATACCGATGATCCCATTTGATCATTTATATGGCTTCAATTTCCGGTAGTCCCAAGGCCAAGCTTTCGAATTAGTAGGGATCGACATACGAAAGCAATGTTCGGGTCGGAGCTCCTGAAAATCAATTTATTTTGGTACCACAAAATAAAACATCAAATATCTTTTACGGAGAACCTCTGACCTAATAAAGAAAAACAAAAAAATCCAGAAATCCAAAAAATCATCCTCCATCCAACATGTCCTCATGTCAAAATTAATCATGATGGGTCGTCTCCAGGAGAAGTCTGCATTGCACGCTAAAGTACTGACACAAACGCGATGCATATTGATTGTTTTAAATAATTATAAAGAAATATAGTATTTGATATATACCATATTTGTTTTATTTTTTTCGCTTTTAAAAACTAATTGATGAATATATTTGTATAACTTCTTGTTTGATTATTCCGGTATTGTTTAGTTTGCAAATAAATGCCAAAAAATTTGGATTAAATAATGCACGATGCATTTAAAAAATAACATGCATATGATCATTGAAAAAACTTCAACAAATCCAACACAGATCCATTTTAAGGCGAAATAGTGCGTCATAATAATGAACGAGTGGTCGACTTTATATGGCAAAATTTTTTGTAGGGGGGGCAACGGCCCCCCTCGCCCTTGAATATACATACATATAATATACATATAGTATGTATTGCTACTTCGTACCTTCAGCATGGCAAGGAACCCTAAACATAATTTTCCTTATGTAATCAAATAATTGCAATTTACGATAAACTGAAATTTTATGTTAATATTGTGACAACACACATAAAGTTATTATTTTAAGCAAACGAATTAAGAGCTTTTGCTATATTATAGAATATACTTATTTATCGATATACTGATTGTGATTGTGGCCATATCTGTAAATTAATGGTATGTGGTCTGCCTGAACCAAGTGGTGCCTATTTACGTTAGGGATGACGAATCTAATTCAGCCGCAAGCAGTGCAAAAGGGTGCACCAAGAAGTTAGAGCGGAATGGTAAGCAGTTGATCAGACCGCTCATGCAAGCAGTTTATCAAGAACTTGACCAAACACTGGATCAAGCAGTCGATGAAGCAGTGGTTGTTCTAAAAGAATATTAGCACTTCCACTTTGTTTTTTTAGGACTATTCTGTATATTTAATAAATGACCTCGCTGTACCAACCAGCCTCGGTAAAGTATTGTATGTATATGTATTAAGGCAAAACATATGTTGTCGGGAGTTTGTGCCACCAATTTGCTTTTCCTTAGTGGAGAGCATTCATACAGACTCCTTTTTCTTTGATATGATATGTCAAATTTTACTGGCCTGTTATATAGGAATGATTTTTTTGTATAAATGCTCATTATAATTGGGGAGTGCTTTTTTACGGAAATAAGAAACTTTCATTACAATACAGACGGTGTGTTTGTAGAATTTCAGTCTTGGCCGGAGTGGATGTGAATCGGAATAGAGATAGTTCATCTTTTTTGTACTCTTACGCCATTTTCGAATCAGAAATTCTTGTTATTGCTGTTGTTGTTGTTGTTTCTGCATTTATACAACTACTTATTTGTAAGTTGGTACATTTAACTACATCAACAATTTACTACAGCAACCCACTACTGATATAAGAAGAAAAATTCCACTTAATACGTTTCGTGGAATTGTCGATCACTTTCCTTGACACTTACCAAACTGACTTCGCATCCAGGGATACAGTGGGGACGGCATCCCTGAGGACTGCGAGTTCGGATTTTGGGATGGTGGAGTGTGTTGGCCGGGATGGCCCTGGTGCATTTGTGGCGGCCCCTGGCCCTGGTGCATCATAGCCTGCGGCGGGGCGCCCACTGGGGGAACGCCCGCCTGCTGTTGTCCGTACATTCCCATGTTATGGTGGGTTTGGTGGACCTGCGTAACGATACCAAACAATTAGTAGGGGTAATGTTAGAGGGAAACGGAAGAAGAAACTAAAAATAATGAGAGAGTGACTAGGTGGGCGATTCGCATTGGTTAATAAGTAGCATACAAAATAAAAATACAAAATCGACTGTGACACATGAAACCCGTCTTACCTCTGTCACATCGGGGACGCCGACGTCAGTGTAACCCAACTGGAGATAGGTATAGGAGAGACAAGAGAATGAAGCTTTTAGAATGTTATAAGCGTGGGTGGAGAAAATGCAGTGCTGGAGGCGGAACTAAAACGATTCTTCAAACAGTCCTTGGGGTTACTCTGCTTACCTGTGTTTGCGGGTGACCCATGTGATGAGGCAGAGACATCTGGGCGTTCATATGATGGCCGCCCATCTGGTCCACCAGTGGGGGGGAGCCTCCCTCAGGCACCATGCCTAATCCGCCGACGGCCGCTTGCAACTTGCAACTGGCGTAGACTACGGGCTGCTGTTGCTGTGGATGTGTCACCTGTTGCGTCACCTGGGGGTGCTGCTGATGCTGTGACGCCTGCTGCGTCTGCTGCTGCGGCTGCTGGGGCTGTTGCTGTGGCTGAGGCTGCTGCTGCTGCGGTACAAGTTGGCCGTTGGTCTGCGTCTGCGGCATGCCGCCCACCTGACTCGAGGGACTGTCGGGCCTCGAGTACCCCTGGTGTTGCTGTTGATCCATGCCTTGGCCGTTGTAGTAGGGCATGCGATCGTAGGGCGGGAAGCGAGGGTATGGCATATTGCCCTGGTGATTGGGGTTCTGACTGTAGTGATGCATTTGCTGCGCATCGAGATCACTGACGCCGTTGCCCGGATAGTGCCCATGGTGCATGTCAGGACTCATGTACGAGTTTGTGAAGTATGACGTCATGCTTTCACAGTTATTTGTACTCATCGTCATGTTGGAGAAAGTTGAGGTCAACTGAGCTTGCGTTAGAGAAAATGTCCTAGAGTTAGTGCCCAGCGACTCCACTAACTCCTCCTCCTCCTCCCCTATTTTGACAATGATGGGAGTGTGCACTGAGCTTTCAGCTTCTCGCCTGTATACAAAATAAACTGGAAGAATAAAAGGAAGAGGATTAGCATTGACTCTACTCCTTCTGACTCTCAAGCTTACCTACTTATTCCTTAAACTCTTAAGTACAATACAGTTACGCCTTATCTGGTAGTTGTGTTTTTGTCTTGAGGTATAAAATGATTTCCGTTGTTGCTCCGCTCTCTTGCCTCGTAGCCGGGCAAAAATAAAACGGGATACGTTCTCTTTTTACCTTGTGCTTATTTGGTAGAAAAGTAATTGGTGTTGTAATCCTTAAGTATCCTTAATTTCTAGTTGGTAATCAATTTTGATTTCTGAAACTCTGCAATGGAAGGAAGTAGAAGGATTTTGTGTTAGAGTTGCTGTTGATCATTGTTGCTGCTCGAGCTCTAAAATTAGACTGAAATCTGGATATTTAACCATGTGCCTTAAACTTGACGCAACGCGTCATGTGCAAAGCGGCTGCCATCAGATAAATGGTTTATGCCACGCATCGAAGAATTCTTCAAAATTTGATCTGAACCAATGAATTGAGGGTAGGGAAGAGATGATAGCACAATGTGGAGGCGTGGCAGACCCCACAATGTATATACATACATATATTCTTGATTAGCATGACAAGACGAGCCGATCTCGCCCTGTCTGTCTCTCTGTTCGTCTTGAAAAGGTTGATTATTTGTATTAAAGGCCACTAACATAATTTTTAAACTATGCACTTCACATTTAAAACGGAAACCTTAAAACTTTGAAACGTGCTTAAGGATATCCATTTGATCGGTCTTTAGTCACTGTCTGCCTCTACTCCCCTCATCGCTTTCACAGTTTGGCTAGGGTTCATGAATAAGAAATCAATTGAGTTATCCTCTTGCTGAACTGACATCCTTCCGGTTGAAGTGATTAAATTTCCTGGCTCATTATCACGAGTCTCTGATGCCATAAATCAAAACTGAAACAATGCAGAAAGACACTCAGGCGTACTAACACGCACACACATTTGTACAAACACATGCATACATATGTACACATTTACGTACATATGTATGTACATGCATTGCACGTGCATGTGTCAAATGTGGGGTCAGGTCTGCGACGACAAGCCTGCGGAAAACTGGCTAACTGGGATTGTTGTTGTCGAAAACAAAACATTCAGAATATATAATAAAACAGTCAAAAGGCTAACTTTAAAATACGTCCATATTTTAGCGACTACAAGTACATACATATATTCCTCCCGATTTTCCCACATCCCGTTTCATTTCATTCTCTCCCTCTTCATTCGCACTTTACGGCTGTTTTTTTTAAAGTTCTGCATGCCTTTCCTACCAGCGAAATTTGCGAAATCGCGCGTCGCCCAACTTCACCTGGCCCCCCACCATGGTCGCTCGAGCTACCGAAGCCAGAGCTTTCCTTTCAATTACACACTTTCAGTTTTGGGAAGGATGGCAATGGCTGCGCGAAGGGACAATGGCGGTCGGAAGTTGTAGTTGTTGTTGTTGTTGTTGTTGAGGGAAGGCGACACGGGATGTGGCGTTGCACAGCCCCCTGATTCCACAAACTTATGTATGCATTTAATATGTATTCCAGCATATGCGTACATATGTACTTATATGTATGTACAAGTATGTATGTATACGTGCTCGTACATGCATACATAGTTATCAGAGAGAGTCTCTGTACGGTCGAGAAGGGTCTGTGCAGCAGACTTGGCCGTGGCAGATGCAAAGAAATTCACTCAAGCACAAGCGAGTTGATAATAATGTGTGATGTGTGTTCTTGTTATTGTTGTACCATTGTTGTAACAATTGTGGTTTGGGCTGTGCTTGATTTATGATTTATGTTTGTCTGATGTGATTTATTCAAGCGCTTTAATGTAATCGCAATGGTTTTGTTTTTAATACTCATGTACAATATACTATAGTCTATGGGTATCCCTTTTTGCCGATAGTGCTAAGAGCTTACAGCGCTAGTGTGAGGGTGCTTCTTATAGTTTGAAGAAGATCCTTCCGTGTTTTCAGATATTCGAAAGGTCGGACAAACTCAGAGACAGACAGAGAGACAGACTTTTTTCTGTAGCCTTTATATAGGCTTGAAACAATACAATTCCATTTCCTAATAACAAAACTGAATTGCAGAAGTAGCATTTAAATACATATGTATGTTTATATGTATGTATGTAAACAGTGCTGATGTGAGTGGATTGCGATTGGATTATGGACTTTTCCAATTTTTAGAATTGCATACTTTTGAGTGCTCGAAGCCATCTGTTGACAGAAATACGCAATTACGTATGCAACAAAAGAGGGCGCTTGTGGAACCTTGTCAACAGCGCCACCTATTCGTTGGTGGGCGAACTGATTTGACAAGCACTTCACTGTGGCATCATTTTCTGTGCAGTCAAGTTTCCTAAGAATGTACATATAGTATAAGTGTACTTATATTTTTGTTGTACCAATGGGAACATTTACCTAAACATTAAAAGTTTTAAGGAAATTCGTTAAATATTACATATGTATATATTTATGTTACTCGCACCAAATACTAAAAAAATACTAGTTTATATACATACACACGTACATAAATACATATTTGCAGGGATTCCGGAAAGATGTAAGATAAGTACATATCTCGAATATCCTAACATACTATCATTGTGTTTTATTGTCAAGCTTCAACAGGATATGTTGAGCTCTTAAAAATTATTTTTATTTTTTAAATTAAATTATCGATAAAACTAAATTATTTCCTTAAAGTGGCTACAGATTGTCTAAGAACCCGACTTGAACGACTAGCATTTTATCCATGTTAAATTTTAAGTTTATCAAAAGTGCCATTGCCAAAAAAAAAAAAAAAAAAAAAAAAACATTCTGCATCGTGGTAACTTAAACCCAAAAAAAAAAAAAAAAACATTCTACCTGTGTTCATAATGCTTTAACCAATGTGCAGCATTTGTCTCTTAGCGAAGACAGACACCATAGTTTGAAGCCCGGCCCACTCACCTAAGCATGCACACTTCGACCCAACAACAAATAGAAGCGGTTCTTGTTTTTGATTCTTTCTTTGTCGACGACGGGTCGCGACGGCAAACGAAGCGTAAAAAAACAACAGTAAAGCATGTGCAGTTAATCATCACAGCGAGCATATCTCACTCGCACGCATGTGGTCTCTTTCCCACCCATGTGCGCACGTCGAAATGAAGTGAAAATGAATGATTTCCTTCTCAGCCATCAACTGCAGCCATTTTAATGCACGCTCTTTTCTCTTTGTGTTTGTCAGAAAGCATGAAGCTTTGAATGTCTGCAAAGACGATTCTGTCGACGTTACAGAGTCGGGGGCAGTATGTAACTAAAGCTGGCATTCGACACAATAGTTTGTGCATCTTGTTGCTAGCTTATACATACATACGGGTATATACGTATGCTTCTATGTGTGACTGACTGATTGACTGATAGGTAAGCAACACACAGCCGAAATTGGTAGAGCCAGAAAATTTCGGAAAATTCAAACTTCAATAAGTGAGAAAATTGACTCTCTAGTTCTAATCCAATCGACTTCAGAGCTGGTTTGTAGGATACTCTAACTGTATGCACACTTTATATTTATTTGGGTATTCATATTTTACCGTTTACAGTAAAAACGTAAAATAAAATAAGAACACTATGTTACGTTTTTAATCTTTATAGAAATTCAAAAATCTTACATTAAATTAATACAAATAATAGACCAAACCAAACAAGATCGAATGTTGCAACCAAGCAAGCGGAAAAACCGATAAAATAAACGCTCGTCGCCTAATCTTTTATTTGCCTTATATTTTATATTGCCTTAATATTTAAAGTGACAATGTTTCGAGGATGATTATGAACTAACAGCAGGCTATTCAGGAGTTTTTTAAGGTAATTTTTTTATACCTTTGGTTACATTATTGGCGTTTTAGTAAGGATTCCATTCTTTTTTGCAAATATAATATAGCCCATGTTAACCGTCGATAGTGTAGCTTTCCAACAATGAAAGAATCCATTAAATTGGACTAGTAGATTCGGAGCCTTTTCAATTCAAACAAACAAACAAACAAACAATCAAATCTTTCCTCTTTATAACATTAGATTTGATCAAAGTTTGTGAAGTCTTTCTAAAACATATTGGTTCTATTGCGGCTGTCTGAAGAATATGAAGTCATTCAATAGCATTTAAGAGATAATAATGGGGTGCGAAGGGCTCTTATTGTATTTAAAAAACGCAAGTCCTACCTCGTCTGTCTTATCTAGTCACTCATTTATCAAGAGACAGTTTTACTTACTCTGCTTTGACCCACATCTGGGGGTCTACACAAAATCTGGGTGCTAATACAAAATCACTTTTTAACCACTTACAGGCGGCCTACCACTCTTTCTGCCTGGCAAGCGACACCAATCAAATATACCCTTCAAGATTCCACAACTAATATTCAGTAGTTACATATTTAAGCATTCGCACATATTTCAATAACAAGTATGTACTCGCATAATCGAGAACTACAAGCATTGGGCACGTGCTTAGGCCGAACCGGCAGGAACATTTATAGCATCATCAACTAAAAGACCAAATAAAATTTTATTACCGCTATAAATTCAAGCACTTGAAGCGGGCCCAAGCAGGTGCCGTTCGACGCACAGAACGCTCAGATAAGCCCACGCGATTTAGCGACGGAGACGCATAAAGAAAAAGAGCGCAAGAGGAAAAAACGCAAAAGACGGAAGCGACAGGGGCCTGCATTTTTCTCACATTTATCTTTTTCGACTGCTGCCTTTTATTGCGATTGGAAATTGTGCTTGTCAACGAGGTGTGTGCACGGTCGAATGGTCCGAATGGCCCGAATGGTTAGGTGCATTCGTTGGCTGCCTTGTTGCGTCAGCTAGCCGGGCTGTGGAGAGGACGAACGGTGTGGAAGTCGGTGCAGTCGTCTCTTGCGGACTTCGGGTAACTGGCAACAGCTGGTGCGAGTTTCGGGCGCATGCTGCCTTCTGATAATAAAAATGTCAGCTTGACGATTGTTGGTTCATAAATAAAGTTTTGCATTTGAATTGGAAATAAGTAGGCTGTAGGCCAAGGCGGCGAAGGTGGAACGTAGCGGAGCGGGAGCATAATAGCCAGCGGCTCTGCTGTTGCCACTTGGCTAAATTGAAGAAGGGAATTGCATACTCGTATGTTGCGATTGCTTGCACTTAATTGGCGCTATTTAGCATTTAGTCTTGGACATGGCCGAGACACTGATGCTCCCGCAATACCTGCGCCGTCTACTGCACAATCTGTGTGCCCTGTCAGACGTTGACAACTCATATAATG